GATAAAAACATGATTTGAGGGGTACAGACCTTTCACTACATATTGCTTGGAGCTACTCAAGCTCAGTATATCATATTTCAGTATATCATATACACATACACACATACATACATACATACATGTATTTAAAATGATAGATATTGATACTATACTTCTCTTCACTTTCAAGAAGTTGTATGCAAATGTTTCATCATTTGGAAGCAATTATAGTAAATGCAATATTTCAAATTTGTGTTCAGATTGAATTTTATTGTTTCATTTTGCAGTCTAGAGCTGTCTTGTTATTCCATGGTTTTCCTTTGCTAAGATAAACTTTGGGTTTTAATATACTTTTGTTGCCCCTAACTCCATGGGAAAGCTTATTCTTTATGGTGCAAAATATAACTGATATTATCATGATTGAAGAAACTTTTTTCCACTCAGTAGACAATGGACTCCTTACTGAGTAGGAAAAGAAGATAAAGGTATCATTATGTTAAAGCCATTCAGTTTCTCCTCCCTTCTCTCTCTCATACTAATTTTGGTTATCCAGGGTAATCACCATTTATCCCCCCCCCCCCCCATTACCCCCTGTTCTATGTTATTTATTTAGTTATTCTTAAGCAATTAGGGATTTCAAGGAAAACTTTTGAATTAGTATGAGTTTCTGTATAATAACTTCAAGTATGTACCTGTTCTTTGTTTATATTTTGTATTATTTTCTTTTCAGAAACTGAATTCCATTGTAGTAGAAGTTGACGGAAGTGATGATGAAATAGCATTCAAAACTCCACCAAATATGGTGAAGAAATTTGTAAAGATCACTCCATCATCACCTGCAAATAAAATCCACACACATGAAGGAAAGAGCACAGCCACTGAGCAGTCCCTTGTGAAGAGTCTCTTTAGCAAAAAGAAAGGCCTGCCATCAACACCAAACAAAGCAGAGGATATGCTTGAGGTTGCTACTCCCCAAACTGTCAAGTTGACACCAGGAACCAAAAAACTGGGGAAGAAGGTGAAGACAGCAGAAACTACACCCTCTAAAAGCGAGGAAGAACCCACGGCTATTCTGAAGAAAACTCCCAAGAAGAATGCAAAGACACCAGGTACCCCATCTGCATCATCAGCTTTAGATCAAGTAACAGAAGAACCAGTCTCTGCAACAGAGGCATCTGTTGGTGAAAGTGAGCCAGTTGAAGCAAAGTCTCCTAAATCAACTAAAACTTCTGTAACTCCTAAGAAAACTCCTAAAGCTACTCAGAAAACTCCCAAAAAGGTTCCTGGTACACCAGCTGATGAAAACAAACCAGTTGAGGCGAAGACTCCGATAACAACTAATCCATCAGTAACTCCGAAGAAAACTCCATCCAAAGCAACTCAGAAAACTCCCAAAAAGGTTCCTAGTGCACCATCTGATGAAAGCAAACCAGTTGAGGCAAAGACTCCAGAAGCAGCAAAAATTCCTAAAACCCCTGAAGCAAAGACAGGTAAGACAAGAACACCAAAATCAGCAAAAAGAAAAGAGGAAAATATTGATACAGTAGCACAACTTGATGCTGCTAATGACAAAACTCCACTCAAAAGAACAGTAGAAGAACCTCAGGCTAAAGAACTCTTTAAGAAAGTAAAGGTAGATTCTACAGAACAGACCACAACTCCCAAGAAATCTACAGAGACACCTGTTACTCCATCTGCATCGTCAGCCTCAGATAAAGTAGCTGAAGAAACTGTTGAGACAAAGGCAGCAAAATCTCCCAAAACTCCCAAAACTCCAAAGGCAAAGATCGATGGCACAAAGACACCAAAATCAACAAAAAGAAAAGCAGATAATCCATTAGGTCATAGCGATGGCCCAGAAGCATTACCTACACCTGCAATTGAGGGAACTCCACGCAAAAAGACTGAAGAACCTCAAGGTCAAGATCTCAAGAAACTAAAAGTAGATCCCACAGAATTGGCGTCAACTCCCGCAAGAACTCCTAAGAGGGCTGTTAAGAAGACCCCTAAAGTAGATGAAAGCTCAACAACTCCTCTTCGAAGGTCCCTTAGAAGTGGTAAGAATAATCAGTCTTAGGATCCTGAAACAAAGCAAACAAAAAATAAAACAAAAAACAGAGAGCTTCCTGTGTCAGAATATGCAGAACTTGATGGGAGCCACAGATCTTGTTACATTTTGAGAGTGAGGACCTAGTTTGTTAGAGTTTATGTATGTAAATTAGCAAGAATTATATTGGTCTAATTTGTAGGCCTACAGTATTTGGTTGGATGGTATTTTTCTTGTCTACAAGACATTTTCTAACCGTGTTCAATAATAACAAATATTGCTGTAATATTTTAAGTGTCTTGGTTTACTTTCTAACCAAGCACCAGGGATTTATCTAAATGAAACATATTAGCTTATATTGTACTGTATACTTCGTTTTATGCAGAAACCATATATATAATTATTATGTATTTTGCTGTTTTTGAAAGAGCTCTACAGTGATTTTTTTGTTTTTCAATAAAACTGAATAAAGTTGTAAAAGTATTTTTCACCATAATTCTTTGAAATATCACATTTCATAGATCGTTGTCTAATATTAAGTAATATGTAATAATCGGAAATAATGGCCATAAGTAAACAACATATTCTTTATAAGTAATTCTCTTTTATCCATTACTTGATAAAAAATTCACTTCAAATATTAAACAGAGGGAATAGATACACCATTTCCAGAAAAAAAGAACTTTGTCAAATGATTGGGTTGCTCATATAACGAGATCTGATACATTTTGTTCTTGAATAGTACCTTCCAACTGAAAAAATATTAAGGCAGAGTTGAAGATTCTCGCTTTTTAGATAGACTAGAAATATTTTTTTAATCAAACATCAAAGACAAAATAAAAAGATGGAACTTCAAGCGATCATTTGGATATTCAAACAAACAGTGCTAAAGAATATATATTTTTTATTATTTGTAGCATATATACATATAAATGCAATGTTTTGAATTTGTACAGTTTTTAACATGTATTTGTAAGTATATTATCCGACAATGCGAGATTAGCACAAAAATATTTTTGTTGCATCTCAGATAACTTCAAATTCGATTATTCTAATGCAATTTTTTGCGATCACTTCATTGTAATTAATACATTTGTAGCACCTTTAACATATATTGCGTCTATACATACTAAATATCTAAAGTAATAGGTACATAATTTACATAATGGTGAGATGAACCGTAGTTTCACTTAAGCGGTGAGTACAGAACAAACAAACTCAATTTTACACGTAATTTTGACACTGATGAAAATATATTCTCATTTCTAGATCTTATCCATTTTTGTATATTTCTAAACTCATAATTCATATGCTGTGTGGATACATATTTTGGGTCACAAGTAGTATACTCGGCCTATCTTAATATTACCTAAAAATAACCAAAGCTGACAAACGCATACAAAACGTCGTTGTCTTCTTAGGATGTCGGCTGCACAAGTTAAGTTGTTGTTGACTAGCTTTTTGACTGCAAGAAAAAAATACGTTATTAAAATAGTGCATGAGGAAGAATGAAAGCGCATATAGAAATTATATAGGTAGATCACATTGAAAATTGTTTTTGTTAAATGATAAAATAATCAAACCGCTGTGCTCCTGTGAATCTGGAATTAATTATCTACACGGAGATGAAGATGTGGGTGGGAAGGGTAGGGCGAGAGAGCGAAGAAGAGAAGAGAGAGAGAGAGAGAGAGAAGAGAGAGAGAGAGAGAGAGAGAGAGAGAGAGAGAGAGAGAGAGAGAGAGAGAGAGAGAGAGAGAGAGAGAGAGAGAGAGAGAGAGAGAGAAGAGAGATTGAGAGACGGGGGGGGGTAAACAGATTTACAGACATACAGAGAAGTTAGTGTGTGTGTGTGTGGGGGGGTGATGATGATTATAAAAATTATAACTAGTTTGTGCATTGTGGGTTTTGCTACCATAATATCAACACGGTAGAGTTTTTCCATTCATAATAACAGTGATAATAATATAACAATAACAATACTACTAATAATCATTATTATATCATAATAACAGTATTAATAACAACAACAACAATAATAATAATAATATATTATCATGATATAACAATGATAATAAATAATAATTAAAGAAAGATATAATAAAATAACAAAAAATTCTAGAAATACGAAACAACAAAAATTATAATGATAATGATAATAATAAACTATAATAAATCAAAAATAATCATAACAATAATAATAATAATAATAATAATATATATAATGATAATAATAATAATAATAATAATAATAATAATAATAATAATATAATATGATAATAATAATGTAATAATAATAATAATAATAAATGATAATAAAAAAATAATATTAACAATCATATAATAATAATAATAATAATAATAATAATAATAATAATAATAATAATAATTTAATAATGATAATAATAATGACAATAAAAAATAATAAGAACTATCATATTAATAATAATAAAAACAATAAAATAACAATAACAATAACAATATTAATAACAATAACAATAATATTAATAACAATAAGAATCATAATAACAATAATAACTAATAATGAGCATGGTAACAATAATACTAATAGTAATACTATCAATGGTTATCAATGAAAATCCTTCAATATCACCGGCGTTCACGTAATCCTGGAATAATATGTTATATGTTTCTCTTACCCTTGTTATGACATAAGTACTTTGTACATAAATACAGGCGAATAGGCTAACCTGGCCAAGTAGCGGGAGAGACGTCCGCGAGTGCAAGAAGGCCAGGTCATCAATGCAAGCCTCTCCGCCCCACGACTTCTGACGATCGACCTTAGCGACAATTTCTTGAATCTCGCTTGTGGGTTTGCTCGAAGCGGGAATCACAAGGAAAGTTCGAGCAAGGTGTGCCAAGTTCGGCAGCAGACTCGAATTCCTCTGCCACCAAACCAAAAGGTCGTCTGAATCCGAGTAGTCTCGCATGAGGGTGTACAGTTGGATCTCCCTCTCTGCCGCGCGTTCCTCATCCTGGTCGTCGTCCTCCAGGTATGCCAAAGGGCTGTCACACTTCTGTTTCTTTCGAGGCTGGCTCATGTCTGCACTGACGTTTTGTGCCAGGTCCTTGATCTCCTTGTGCACTGCTGTTCTGTCTTCTGAATTCATTATTCGCAAACTATTCATACGAGGGTTGAAAAATACAGCTACCTTGTGATGAAGCTGGATGTCGACATATTCCTCTAAACATTTCTTCATTCTTACCTTCAGTTTTACCGTAAATGGGTCATCGCCATTCTTCGATACGCAGCCTTCCCGTAGATGGGTAAGCCAAGGAACTACCTTGTGCAGCGTTGGGCCTGTGCTCTTTTCAATGTCGTCTAGAGCTTTAAGATACGGCAAAAGAAGCTGGCTCACTGCTTTTATCTTTGATAGTCCCTTCTCAGTGAGTAAACTTTTCTGTTCCTGATTTTGTGCAAGTTCAGATAATTTGTTGGGGTTACCAGTTACAAGCACAATGGTGCTTAGAACATTTTTCCAATCTGCTGTATTTGGCAAGTTAACGTTGATAAGTTTTAGAAGGCCTGCGTATTTCAATAGTTCTCCGTTTACTTCTTTTCCCACCGATGTATTGTTAAACAGATGCCTTAGAGCTTTGTTTATCATATGGTCAAAACATGGTAAAGTAGTATAGGTGTTGGTCTGTTCCTCTACTGTACTTTCATCATTCGTCACTAACACAAACTTCATATCAGCTTCTCTAAAACCGAATTTCTGTAGACTACTCCGTACACAGTCCTTAATAGTTGTCGGCGAATCCTTCTGAATTTTACTGATTCCAATAAAGGTCTGCTCAAGGGTTCTCCAGCCGCTGATATGGTGAAGCGACAAGGCGACATAAGAATCAGGACAGTCTTGGATCACACTCGCAGTCACTGCCATGCTTTGTATTTGACCTTTCACAACGGATGCCACGGCTGTTCTTGTGGCTGTTGCACGCCCCGCAATATGCATTGCTAATTTCTTCGGCTCAGGAAACAGAGGCGAAATATCAACTTTCCCATGCACAGCACCAACATCTATGAGAAACTGAGCCAAGTTTTTAAAACCGTCTCCAATGAGTGTCTGGTAAGGAAACATATCTCTAATGACAAATTCTGAACACACTTTAGACAAGGACTTTTCAAGCTCTAACTCGAACTGATCTTTCTGTTCTTCCTCGACAACCACCTCCTCCTTCACTACCTGCACTTCGGAAACAATGCCATCGTCAACAGATTGCTTACTAGCCCCCGGGCAGCTCCGAAGGTGAGTGAAGAGAGAGGAGGTGCCAGTCATATGTGGATCATGCCTTAAAACCTCCAGGCAATATGTACACCCTGCATAGCCAACCATATTCCCTCGCTGATTCATCACCATCCGAAAATGTTCCCATACCGCCGACCTCCCACGTTTCTCTGGCGCGAGCTTATACACACCACTGCGAAGCTTTTCTCTTACGTAACGCCTCATGTTTGCAAGTGTGTCAAACCCAAGGGAATCCTCGCTTCCAACTACAGTAGGCCCCATCCCAAGAAGTCCATCCTCCATGGCGAATATTGTAGACCGCCAATCGATACAGAAATAAGAGTTTGGGTCCTCAAAAAGTCTAAACACATATAAAACGTTTGTATGACTACACTGGCCGTGTGTTTACTGAGTTGGCTTGGGCCGTGAGACCGCAGCTAAATCGATGGCTGCGGGCACCCGCATGCAACCGCTCAGTAAAACATGTTTAGCCAGCATGCTCTCCCGGGCGGAAAACGTAATTCTCATTGGTTTAACCCGCCGACCCGCATTTGTACCATACAGTTCCCGAACTCCGCAGCGCGCCTGGCAGCGGTGTATGCCAACCGCTCTTGCACCCCGAGAGCTAGCGGTTTAGATTGCGATATAGTCTATGAAGGTTGGTGTATCATACCTGCATACAGAGGCAGCTGTATATCTAGTGAGAAATAATACATCCAGTTAGCTCATACACATGCTCTCTCTCTCTCTCTCTCTCTCTCTCTCTCTCTCTTCTCTCTCTCTCTCTCTCTCTCTCTCTCTCTCTCTCTCTCTCTCTCTCCTCTCTCTCTCTCACTTCCCTTTCTCTCTCACTCCTCTTTCTCTTTCTCTCACTCCTCTTTCTCTTTCTCTCACTCTCCTTTCTCTTTCTCTCACTCTTTCTCTTTCTCTCACTCCCCTTTCTCTTTCTCTCACTTTCTCTTCTCTACTCTCCTTTCCTTCTCCCACTCCTCTTTATCTTTCTCTCATTCCTATTTCTCTCCTCCCTATCCCACTGTATCTGTCTCTCTCTCTATATATATCTGTTTATTTTTCTATGTGTGTGTGTGTTTCTATGTTTACACATATGTCTGTGTATGCTATGTATGTTCAACAAATTGCAAGAAAATAGAGACGGGAAGACAGGCATATTCATGTGTTTTTTTTCGTTGTTTAATTCACACACACACACACACACACACACACACA